CAACGTTTACGTTATAAAATACGGTAATTATTATAACTAAATTATATTTGGACATTTGGTTGAGAATAACAAAACAAGTTTGCCAAACAATTAAGACATTGACCGTGAATACGCGAAATAGGAAAAAAGACTTGTTGCATAAATAACAAGACTTTTTTATCATTTATAAATTATAATTGAGTTGGAGTAAGAGTAACAATGGAAATAACAATTCTTAAGGATTACTGACAACAAAATATGTACAAGCATGTGATAAATGATAAATAAATTGGTTCAATTATTTTCTAATACAGCTTTTTCTTTCTCATGTTTCCGAGAGACGAGATTACTTTTATTTCTTTTCATTAAATTTCTCCTCGACGATAATTAAGATATAAAATTAGAAATTTAATACTAGTTTAATATTTAATAACTTGTTATTAATTTCATTAATTTCATTTTCAATTCTGAAAAAATGAAAAGTTTTCTTTTTGTAAACTTTAATAGAAAAAATTTTGAATCCAAGAGAAAGAAAATATATTTCCACGAAAAAAATTGCAAAATTCGCGAGAAATTTGCAAACAAAAACTATTATTTTCGGACCCAAGTGTTGGTTCAGTTGTACATAGAGACGTTGAGAACTTGTGGCCTTGGATGCAAACGAAGCGAGATAATTGGCGTTTAGTTCTAGGTTTACGATAATGCGAACGACTGCTATGCGTGCAATAATGCCATTTAGGAGGAAACGATCCGTCCTAAATAGCAGTTTTTCTCACGGGTCGGTTTCTTTTCCCAGCCAGTTCGAGAATTTTAATTCACTGAAGAAAAGCACGTGTAACGTAATGCAACGTAATGCAACGCAACGCACACATAACGGGCTTATCGCTGTAAATCGCGAATTCGCGACCGAGAGCATTTAAGTTCGCGCGCGTTTATTACGTTGCACCGCATATAACGGGTCATGTCGAGTTGTGTCGAGTTGTGTCGAGTCGCACTCACACTCAAAGGCCGCGACTCCAATTTGCTCTGCCCTTCCGACTCTCCCATAAGAATACAAAATCACCCGGCCCGCTCTGACACTCATTAAACGGTTTATGGCCCCATTAGAAATTGCACGAGAGGCTTTTAAGTACCCTTTAAAACCACTCGAGTACATCTTCTCTGTACACGTATGTCACCCGAAGGCATTAACAATATTCCTATGTATTTTGCAACGAGACCGATACAAATTTTACCAGAGCTCATAAATAAGTTTTACTATATACAGTTAAGAGATACTATAAACAAAACTATTACTTTGCTCTCATAATGAAAATTTCAATTCAGCTTTTCAAGCAAAGTCTACAAGCTCTTTAAATTATAACTTTTAGAACGAAACTAATTCGAAAAATAGTAAAAAAATCAAACTTTCTAGGTTTTTTCAAAACAAAAAATATAGTTCACTTTCTAGTCATTTAATGGTAAAATTATTCGAAAATATCAATAACTTCATTTTTAAATATAAAATATTTAATCAGTATTATTTTTCCATAGGAATTAAAATTTTAATTCAACTATTATTTTCTAGAATTTTTCAATAAAATTCTTTAAATCAATTATTTTTAATAATTTTTGATAAACTTCTTTGAGAATTTTCAAATCCATTTGTTTACAATTCAATTTTACCAAAAATTTAGATTATTCGGAAATTCTTTAATTAAATATAGATTAGAAAATAAAAACTTGCAATAATTTTAAAAAATTTTGAGTAACCTTTTTGAAAACAATTAGTGTCACAGAATTTTTAATTAAAAGAATAAAAAATTCGTATTTTCAACGATTTTAATTTGAAACCTTTTCAAATTTAAATAATTCTAAAAATTGCAATTACTAGTAACTTTTAAAATTTCAAATATTTAAAATTTTAACTAAAATTCATTTTTAAATTTTGGCGGTTGTTTGAAGATTCTAAGTATTTTTTCTATTCTTTATTACTAGATAAAGAATTCGTTATTAAATTATTTTTATCAGGACTTTTTAAAATTGTTTTTTAAATATTTTGTGCATTGAAAAAGAAGATAAAATTATCAAAATTTAAGTAAAGTCTATAAATAGTAAAATTTAACAAAAATGTGCAGAAATTCTACAAAGTATAAATTTGACTATAAAAGTACAGTAAAAGTTACTTTATACCATTTTCCACCCAGTCTTCAATTCCGTAACAATTTGTCACTAATTCAAATTTCTAAATTAGAAGAAAAACTGACCTGAATTGTTATACAACTTCTACATAATCAGTAAATATTATTCAACAAAGAATAATAATTAAAATATTTACAGTCAATAAAAGAATAGTTATACTGATGAGAAATATTTATTATTATTGAAAGTGCTACATTCTATATTAAACTTTTTTGTGCTCTTAAGATAAAATTGAAATCTACGTATAGTTTCCAAGTAAAATTTGTGACAGAAAAAAAAGTTAGAAAAATTACTTCACTTTAGGTCTTAATTTTCTCAGAATTTTAATAGGTTCTAAAATATTTAAGAGACAAAATGTTATCTTTTATATCCCTCGAGTTAAAAGGACTGAAGCAATCATCATAAAACAAACTGATAATATTGTTTCACTCTTTGAAAACGAACTGCTGTATTTACTTATTGCTTTAAAAGATTGCCATACCTTTAACGATCATAATCATTATTATTACTTCCAATTTTTAAAGTCATCTTCTCTCCTTCTTTCTTTATGCGCATTTTTTCTTCAGGTTTAAAACCTTCAAGTCTTTGTTCGACCTCATCGATTACTTTTAATATTTTTTTCCACTTAAATCTGTTTGTTTCATTTATTGAAACTTTTTTTTCTTAAGCACTTCACTTTCTTGAATATCAAAAAGCGGATATAAAGCAATTTTTATGGATTTGTAAAATTACAAAAAGTTAGAGACAATATGATCGAAAGGGAAAATTCTCGAAAAGCAAATTTTCAGTGGGTGTTGAATATCAAGTTTTGGACTTAAAATGTCATAATTACAATTAATGGTAGATCATAAAACTAGAACCGAAATTTTAAATTTTGACTTTAATGTTCGAGTCCAAAAGTCGTAAGACTTTGGACTCGAACATTAAAGTCAAAATTTAAAATTCGATTTAAAAATTAATACTCATTGCTCAGGATACGAATCTGCGGTTAGATTTCGAAAATCTATTTGAAACTTACATGCGGCCGTATAAGATTAAATAGTTCTGTAGGCACTGAAAAATATTAATGTTCACCGACTCTATTAACTTCTTGTGTCTGTAATATGAGACCAAAACATACATTTCTTTCGCAAAGAGAAGAAAATCAGGAAATGGAAGCCCCAAAGTAGGGAATACAAGGGAATTAAATTATCGTAGATATCTGGTTTTCCGCAGATCAACGGCATTGGCCTGATCGATTTATCATCGTGATAAATGGATGCAATCTGAGAGAGAGAGTAGAGTCCGGCGCGGCTCTGTCGGAAATCCTATCTCAAGTTAGCGACGGGGCACCGGCGTTACTTCCGCGTGGCCGACTATCGCATGTATAATCGTCTGGTGGAATTGCATTCCCGTTCGAAAGGGAGGGAAATGCATATCATGAGCGTAGAAAATCGTGCTCGCGAAATGCCAGCGGATTTATGTGCCTTGCGTTCTGGTTGCGAGTCATTACGAGTTGCTCGAGTGACCCGTGAATGTTTGTCGACCGTTCACCAAGCGCGGGTCCGCGAAAGGCGTGGCACCCTCGTGATTCCGGGCCCGTTAAATTCGTTAATTCCTTCAATTTTCCAACAAAGGAATGCGTACAATACAATTATAATCAAGCATTACAATTCCGCCGCGCTGGTCGAAATTAAAGACAATGAGAAAAGACTTCCGGCTATGTTGTCAATTGCTTCCGCGTCACTCTCGAAAACCCCTTAAGGAACCCTGTCTCTCTCGCTCTCTATACTAAAAAATCAAAAACTTTCTACGGAGCAAACAAAGTTTGCAACTATCCCCCTTTTTTGTTGATTTTTTTCCAAAAAGGGATTTTTTAATTCGAAATATTTTTCAACTATCCATTTCTCGCAAACGCCCGCGGTGATAAATGAAAGTTCGCGTTTCCCTTTGTCGACTAGCGATCTCGTTTCTTTTTCCCCGCGTGAAAATTAATTTGACGTCCATTACGTAATTCATCTCAAAAGATCTGAGTTTGATTCCTTGCCTCTTGTTTGAGAAAGTCAATTTGATTGTTTATGGAGTGTAATCATCGCACTCGCGACGTATTATTATAAATTTTCACCAAATCTAGGAATCGCTAAGACAAAATTAAGCCAATTGTCAATGGCGGAAGACTAGGGAGCAAAAAAAACTTTTATTTTTACAACGATAAAATTTTAGAAATTACGCGAGTTTCTTTCCTTTAAAGAGATTTCTAAAAGTTAATTTCAGCGTGAAATGGTCGCAATTCCTCGATAACTGTAAAATGCTCTCAATTTATGTTATCATATGTGGTCATGTAACTTGTTAATTTTTTTCTCTCTTACGTTTTTTCTCGGTAGACCATTTTTTTAATTCGAGAAACCACATATATCGCTCTCGGGATTAGTAGGAAGTAATTCGAGTGTTTCATTGTAACGTAACTTTCTATGAGAGCAGAATCATGTCCACTGTTTATACAAAATCACCAGGAATTATAAATTACAACATTCCGGGTTGTCATGAGTTTTTAGCATATAAACTGGATTTCAAAACATTTTACGTAAACTGATAATCTTTTAAGCCCGAGGAACCTGGTATTAGACTTGTTTGACAATAAAAGCAATCGAAATCTGTCAATATTTAATTTGGTTCGTTTTCTCAATGCTAATAACTCAATACACATGCGTAAATTGTGGAGTGCATGAGCAAATTGCGTAAAGCTGCTGCGCATGTCAAAATGCAAACAGCATGTTAGACAGGCAAAGTGCATTACGGTTAATTGTTAACTTAACGTGAATTACTTGAAATCAGATGAAAATAAAGTGTTTCTGTTTCAGATGGGCCAGCGGATTCTTCAGAAATTCATAATGAATCTTGTGGTAATCACAACCGTAGCGTCGTCGATGTCGGTGGAGCGACGTGGGAGGCACATCGCCACTCTGGCAGATTCTAGTCAATGGACCAATTCCACTAAGCAACAGAAGGATTCCGTCTCTTCTGATCGAGTATCCGCCAAGCGGGACAAAGACGACACTCTGTGGAACGACGGCATCCTTATGTCCTCCGCGGGGAACGGAAAGGAGCAAAAATCCTCATCGGACGATGATGACGAGAAGAAGACCCTATCTCAGCAGGTGAAAGAGGGCAAGTACGGATTGATTCAAAGCGAGCTGTACCCACGCGAGCCGAAGCGACCCGGTATCATCAGCTACCTTCCCAATTCGGAGGTTCCCAAAGACACAGTCAAGAATCTCGGAGGTCTCGATAAGGACGAGATTTGGATGGCGGAAAACCACATTCTCGTTCTTCGTGGCGGAAGCTTTCCCAAAGATGACCCGGCGTCTCGGAACTCGGAGACGCCATGGCCACCGATTGACGACTACGAGGCTCCCAGAAGACAGGTCAAGATTCCAAAGGATCCCAAAGTTCCGCCACCGTTCCCGATTCAACTATCAGACGGCGGGTCGATTCAGATCATCGGCAACAACGGAACTGGTTCTCGGGACAATGGAACAATGGACTACGAGTATTTAAGCGGGTCCAAGGGCTATCTACCCGGAGAAGGTCCCTTCTTCTCAGTTCCCACCGGTGACTCCCTAGCGTCTCCAGGTTTCATCAAATCCGTCAACGACACGCAGGGATCGATCGCCGAGAAAAAAGGCAAATCCGAACCGCCTTTCGATGTCCTCCCCCCGTTCTTTCCCTCACTTCCTCCAGGAGCAGTCTTTGTCCCACCTCCCTCAAACATGTCCGACTACGACGAAGACGACCAGTCTATTTTCTACCCTCCGCCCTACAGTTTCGTGTTCCCGCAAGACAACACGACTGCCATTCCACCGGGTCCTCTTGTGCCCGGCATCATCCTTCCTCCGCCGCCAGACTTTTTCTCTACACTGGAAGAGAAGAAGACGAGTGCAAAGGGAAAGCCGAGTCGACTAACCACCCCGGCACCAAAGTCTCGAACCACCTACTTCACGTCAAGGAAAACTGGCACCAAACTCTACAAAACCACAGCAACCCCCACCACTCAGTCGCCAATCAGAATCGGTACTCTGCCCGTTACCAGTAAACCTACCGGCAAAATAAAACTCAAGAGTGTAACACACAAGCCTTTCTTCCTAGAAATAACGACACCAATTGCAGAAACTAGCTCCCAGTTGGAGAAGACCAAGTCCGCGTTCGGGAATACAAAATCCGTGTTTCACAATACGAAATCAACGTACGAGAATACAATAGATGCGAGAACGGAAAAGAATCCATGGTCTTCGGTAATTAGCAAGAGTGTTCCTCTAACTTACTACGCCACGACGAGTCCCTCTTCTGTGGATCAACCAGTCGAGGCAACTCCCGCCACGATAAAATCAATCATCACCACTAAAAACTCTGGAAGAGTTCCCAGCAAGGCTTCTTATTACTTCTACGAAGAAGCGACGGAAGAGCCTTCGACAATGAAACCACCGATGTACCGCACGACAACCGTCATTCCCTTCCTGAAAAGCGAGAATCCGGAGCAGGACCGCAAGAATAATTACTACAAAGTAGAGATGCTGCCTGCTCGACAAACCACAACGGACATCAGTGTCAAACTAATCGATTCCATTCTCAAAGATCCCCAAGTTTTCCAGTACACCGAAGCGGATCCGCCCAACGAAAAGGAGAATCTACCCCCCAATTCCGGACCAATTTTCTTCGAAAGTGTCCCTGGCAGGTCTCTCGATCTAAACAGTTACTACACTACTATGAAACCCAAGAGTTCCCTGGACTTGAATTCCTACTACACGACCCAAAAACCAAAAAGTTCTTTGGACATGAATTACTACACGACTCAGAAACCAAAGAGTGCTTTGGAGATGAACTCTTACTACACGACTCAAAAACCAAAGAGTTCTTTGGACATGAACTCTTATTACACGACACCGAAACCCCAGAATTACTATCGGGAGGATACGAGTATAGAGGAGCGTAAGCCAAAGCCTATCTATCAGTACAGTTTCGAGGCCGCGGGTTACTCGAAGCGGGACAAACAGAAACAGGACTTGGCGTCCTATAACGAATTCCAAGACATTCAGACTGTGAGTGATCAATACGATTACGATGGGTCGGAGTCCCTTCCCGAGGAGCAGATCCGGACCGAGAGAATACCATCCGACAGGGCTCCGTTAGAAAGGATCCCTTCGGACAGAAGTCCTTTCAACCCTCCGAATACTATTCCAGACCGGAGTCCTTCCAATACGATTTCCGCAGATCGTAACCGTTTGGAAAGAATTCCCTCCCACAGAATCCCCTACAAAACGCAGTCCATCTACCAGACAACTATCTCGCCCTTCATCGACTCAACAATGGACCCCCATCAGTCCTACTTCACCAAACAAGACGAACAACTCCTGGACGATGTGACCAAGGAATACTTCACAGCTTTCGGCAAGAAACTCACCAGCCGAGGGCAGAGCACGACCCCCATCTACGGAAAGTCGAGCACAGTAACCGAAAAGCCAAAATACAGCACCTACGTCCCAAATCACTACGACTTCCGACAGCTCAAGACTAAAGTAAAAGTCCACTACGGCGATCAGTCCCAGGGACCGTTTTCCCTCAAAGGCGACACTCTCGTCAACTACCAACACCCACTACCAATAAATCCCGACAGTGAACCGATAGAAAAACCCGTATCACTAAAAAACGATATTCTGGTGAATTACCGTAACCCCCTACCTCCCATCAATCCGGACAGTGAATTCATAAACGTCAATTCGCAAACGGTTCCGCGGGAGTTTCAGGACTTCATCCCCGTGGAGAATCAAGTCAGAGCCTACAGACCTCAGGGCATCAGGGCTCAGTCGGGTTTCACGCCAATTAGAAACTACGGGGACCAAAGATTACAGAGAATTCGCGGCGAGGGGGGATTTTTGCCAATTGCAAACTGGAACAAATATCCGCGACCCGTGTCTCTGCAGGGCGACATTGCAGTCAACTATCGAAATCCACGTCCGCCAATAAATCCCGACGCTGAGTTCATCACTCCTGTTCAGAATTCCGAGACGGTCAAGGCGAATTCATACATTGAGTACAGTTTGCCAGGTGGGCAAGTCTACTTTTTCCCGCCGCAGGCCAATCCAACGAGACAGGACGACAGGGAGAGTGTTTTCGCGAAACCGAGAACGTCGAGGTTCCTTCGACGGAGACGCGGTCCTGGAACTAACGTTTAGAAAAGTTTGCAAGGAAAAAAATCGGAGTGAAGTTTCTTTTCCTCTGTCTTAAAACAAATGCAGTGAAACAAGAAACTTTAATTGTTTATAAAATCAGGGTAATCACAAGTTTCAGTTTATCAATTTCCCTGACAATTTACTGACACTACAATTATTTTCCCTGACAAAATTCTTTCTACAGGAAAATATAAAAGTTTACGGAAAATAAGTAAAATTAATCACAAACAATTTCTAAAAATTCTAAAAATACAAAATTGAATACTACGAAATAATTATAATCTAAAGAAAATCTAAATACACTGTATTTGTTTTAAAAGAGTGAAATCGAAATTTCCCACGAATCGAAAATGATAGACGTTGACCCGACGTAGGACTTTGATTAATTTAAATTTCGAAATTCGAATTGCGCAACTAATTTAAATTGAAAATTCTGAATTCAATAATAGACACAATGACACTTTCAAACTGGTTATTTTTTTATTATTTTGAATTCAATTTCCAAAGTAATCGGAAATTAGTAAAGAATAATTTCTTCTAATCAATTTGAATTTGGAGATTTTAGTTAAAAACACGAGAAGAAATGTACCGAGGGTTAACAATATTAAAATCCAATTGCCATAATTATAAACAGAACAAAAAAACGTAGGCCGCTTCTATAAGACGAACAGTAGAAAAAATAAAAGAAAACGAAGTGAACAAAAAAATGTAACAAAAGAAGACGAAAATACAATTTGAAAATATAAGTTTCAATTTGAAAATTGAAATATGATTGTAATAAAAGTTTTTTTTAACTTTTATTACAATCATATTTGAATTTAAACAATTAGAATTAAAAACAAATTAAAAAAGAATTTAATATTCTTCACTGCATATTGAAAACTAAATTTTTTACTCTTTTTTTACTCAGTTTGCTAATTTAATTATCACCATTATTCAATGTCTCTTTTAACGTTCGCAAAATTCATCAAAAAAAAAAACATAATTTTTTCCGGGTTTATCCCGAAAAGAAGAAGCGGCCTTACGCTTCGAGTATATTTACTCATTTAGTACGTACGAGTAGAATATTTATTGCTTGTAAATACAGCCGTTTAAGTTAACTGTACGTGTTTTTTTACAACTAGTGTACGATTGCGTGATTAACGCCTTAATTTATGCGACATAATCTTTTTTTTCTTAAATGGACACACAACGATGCATTATCGTCAGCGTATAAATGATGTAACGCTCGATTGTGATTGACTCTCCCGTCTGTGATTAATCATCGAAGATGTACATACGTATACGAAACGGCGGTTCGAAAAAAAAAAAATAATAAACACAAAAACAAACCGAGTTATCAATGTCAAATTTCATGAATTCCTCTCTTTCGCCGGACATGAAAAATTTGCAAAAAAAAAGTAATAGAAAAAAACGTCTTCCGTCAAACTTGTACTGTCATAAGTTTAAAGCATAAACTTCAAGATATATTATCAGCATGGAGTTTTAGTCTTAGAATAATTAAGGAAACAGTATTAAAAAAAACAAAGAATTCAGCCGAAAATTCACCGAAATAACCACCGAAATTTCTTTTACGAAATCGAAATTTTTCTCCGAAAGAAAAATCAGATTCTACCGAATTTTTTTTATGTATTTAATTTACAATCAATTTTTTATTGACTGTATTTTTATAATTTATTTTAAAATAAATTTAAAGTTTGCAACTAATTTTGATTTTACTTCACTTTTTACATTAAACAAAAGATCCTAAAGTTCTGAACGTTCAGATTAAATAATGAAATTTATTTATTTCTTCTTGAAATTAAATTTTTATTACAATTATTTTGTGTCACTTTCAAAAATATTAAGTGTAAAGTTTCTAAATGTAAAAAAATTTTTAATTTTTATTGACACCGGGAAATTAAAATATTTCAGTTCATTTGAACGTTGAAAACTTGATCATAAAAACGGATTGAAAGAATTTCAATTGTGAAATTAATAATTATTCATATTGTCGGGGAGGAAAATTTTAGATTTCGAGGAGAAATATTTCTGTTAAATTGCTTGAGTGACTCTTGATTATTGAAAAATCGTCACCGATTTTAAAATTGTAATATTGTAGATGCAGCTAAACTTTAATAGGAGCGAAAACATTCACTGACATGTGTTAACTTTTTAATTTGTATGAATTGTAATAAGAAATAAATAAAAATGGAATAAAGATGGAAAAAAATGATAAAAATGACTCACCAGTGTCGATTTCTTGAGCTTGTGCTGGATCCGGAAGGGGAGAATCGTGAAGGTGAAGGTAGACTTCCATTGCACACTTTGCAGCTTTGAAGTAAAAGGGATGTGAACGCAGAACGTCTTCTAACCTCAGTAGACCGACATACGAACGTAGTGTCATTTTTCGCATGCAGTACGTGTGAAAATCAAATTGGTCCTCTATTATTTCCGAGAAATGCTGAAAAGTATGAATTTTTAATTATTTTCGAAAATATCTTCTTCAGGGTTGTCACAAAAATTGAATTTTATTTTTTTCTAACTTTTCTCTGATTTCCAAACAAAATTTTAACTCTTCCTTGATTCTAAAGAATATTCTGATTTAGTTTCAAAATTATTACTCAGAAAAATGTTCAATAAATTCTTTTTTAAAAATATTCAATTATTATTTATTTTTTATTTTCAATTATTATTATTTTAAAAAAAATTAGGTGATATTCAGTATAATTATATCAACTATCAAGAATATTAATTAAATTCTAATAAAACTTTACTAAATATCACTTAAGTTTTTTTTAAAGCTTTTAATATTTTTTATATCAAAATTTCGCTTTGTCGAACTTTTTCCCCAATTTGTAGAATACTTTTACAAAATTTAATATAATATATATTCTTTCTTCATATAGAAAATTCTACGACAACTCAATTATCTGAATACAAAAATAAATAGTTTATTGAACGATTGAATGTTTCTTAAAATTGAATAAAGGATTTTATTAACAAATTTTAAAATAATTGAATTCTCTTGGCGAATTTTAATAAAAAAGTTTTAAGAATATCTACATTTTTCGAGGAATTTAATTAAAATTGTTTTAAAATAATTGAAATTCTGCGGAGAGTTTTATTATTTTTAAAAATAATTGAATTCCTAAAAACAATTTTATTTATAAATATAATTGAATCCCTTAAATTAAGTAATTAAATTAAAATTAAGGGTAGAAATATTATTAGTTTTGAAAATAATTGAATTATTGCGAAGAAATTTATAAAAAATTTGTAAATAATTGAATTCCTGGGAAATTTTCATTATTTTATGCAAATAATTAAATATTTGCCTAGAATTTAATTTAAATCTTTTTTAAATAATTGAATACTTTTGGAAAATTTTATTAAAATACTAGATTTTAAAAATCATTGAATTAAGGAGAATTTTGGAAAATAATTGAAATTTTGCCAAGAATTTTAATAAAATTTTTATAAATAATTCAATTTCAGAGAAGAATTTTATTATTTATAAAGATAATTGAAATTTTAACAAGAATTTTTAAAAATTTTTGAACAGAATTAAATTTCTGCGAAGAATTTTATTACTTTTGAAAATTATTGAATTTGGGCAATCTTTTGTAACTTCTCCAAAATTCAATTTTTCTTAGAGCTTTTAACGAAAATTCTTCCATAAATCAATTTTTTTAAAATAATTTATTAAAAGTGCATTAAAAAATGTAAATAATTTCAGACGAATTTGAAATATTAAATTTTTTCAAATATCTAAGTTCTTTAAAAGTTCTAATTTAATTATTGTTTTAATTGGATTTAAAAATTGAAATTTTCTAAAATTTCTAATTGAAATCTTTTGAAGTTCATTTATTTATGAATATTGTAAACGCAACTCTTTTAAAATTTAAATTTGAAATATTTAAGTGAAATTATTCATTAAATAATTTATAAGTAACAGAGAAGAAATTTTTTTATTTGAATAAGATCTTTTTAGATTAATTAGTAATAATTTTATGTTAAGTAACAATTTTATGATATAGTTGTTTAAGAATTAAGTTGTTTAAAAAGAAATTATTGTCTGAAATAGAAAAAATTGAACGTTTTGTATTAAAATTTGTGGTAATTTCATAGTTTGTCAAACAAAAAAGATGTAAAAATTCAGAATTTTCTTATGAATTCTAAAAATTTAATTTTTTCCATAACTTTTAATAAAAATCCCTGACTTTCTCTGATTTCTCGGACCAATTTTAGTTTTCTTGACCTACGGTAACCTTGTTCTTGTTATAAAAATAAATATTTGTAAAAAAATTAATAACTAATTTGTCAATTGGAATACTGAGTAGTGAAAATGAATAAAAAATTACCCTATCGACTTCATGGCACTTTTTGAGCGATTCTCCATATTTTTCTAAGCGTTTGTACGCATAAGCGGCCTCAGTTTGAATCCACATGCACTGCATTTCATTTAAATTCTCCATTGCGAGAACACCTTCCCTTGTGAATTTGCCACAAGTCTCCTCGGCTTCTTTCACGAAATTCGCCCGCAACATGTACTTGGCACATTTTGAATTAATGTATCGATCGGCAGTGTCTAGGCTTTGTGCTTCGTCCAGCCACTTGTAGGCTTCCTGAACGTCTCCTGCGTGCTGTTTAAAATTCAATTTTCATTTAATTTCAACAATCAACTTTAAATTCGTGTAAAATTTTTTAGTTTTGTTTTTGAAATTCTAGTAGATTTGCAACTAGTTACCTTGTAGATTCGACCCTTCGTGACAAAAAGTTCAATGAGCGTTGGTGTGTGGTCAATGGCAGCGTTAATTTCTTCAAGAGCCTTTTTCGTCTGTCCCAAGTAATCGTAATGCTGTGCCAAATAATAATAGGCCCACAAAAGTGCCGAGGCTGGCTCTTTCATATTGTCCTTCTCCAAATCATGAAAGTGGCCGTGAGATTTCAACGCCTCCTTGTATTGAAGAAGTAACGACTCAATTGTTTCCACCTTCTCTTTATTTGTGTAGAGAGACCGAAGACTCACAAAAAGTGGATTTACTCCTTTATGAAGACCTATTTCGAAAACAAAGTAAATATCATAAAATCCTATTTAACAATGTGAAAACTAAATTTAGTAAGAAGGAGTTAACAATTAAAAGTCTTAATTTTTATGATGGAAAAGCAAACTTGCGAAAAGAGTAACATACCTTGTCGCAAGTATTTGTCGACTAGAATTTCAAATTGTTCACCAACAGCGTAATTCAATTGAAGACGTCTAGGCGCCAATGCTCGCGGGAACATGTCTTCGTAAAGTTTAAGCATCTGGAGTGTCTCATCGGGACAAGTGTGTCTTTGGGCTTCCGCTAACCTATCGTAATAAGTTGTGTTTTCTGGATTAATGTCCAACAACTCCTTGTAAACTTGAGCCGCTTCTGCGTATAATCCAAGTTCCAGTCTCAGTTTACCTGGAAAAAAAGAAATCACAAAAATAACTTTTACCGAATTTTTTTTGGAAAGAAAAATAGAAAACAATTTTTTACCCACCATAAGTTTCTTTCACAGTGACTTTATCACAAATAAGTTCAATGTTCTTGTCGAGGTGTTTTAAGGCCTGCTCACTGTCCCCTGATTCTTGAATCAACATGTTCTGATAAAGCAGCAATTCGCTGTGTTCGTAATCATAGCAAATCTGTAAACATTCGTGGAAAATTTTAAAATCTAATTTCTTCTCGAATTTTATAAAGAAAAATTATCAAAACCAAATTTTAAAAGCGAACAAAATTTAACGAAATTCTTATTCAGATTCAAATTATAATACTGAACTGAACGCAAAACTACTAATTTAACCATTAGTAGCATTTTTATTAAATAAAAAATTCTAAAAGAAATAAATTCGTGAATTCTCTTTTATTTTTCGAATTAGAAAAGTTTTGAAAAATTGAAAAAAATGAGAATAAATTATTTTAATCTCTATTTTTCAATTTATCAAAACTTTTCTAATTCGAAAAATAAAAGAGAATTCACGAATTTATTTCTTTTAGAATTAGAATTTTTGCAACTGGAAAGTGGAACTAATTTTCGGAAATATTCACGCGTCCTACTGGAATTGTAAAGATTCATTGAAAGTTCTAATTTGAAGTATAATTGAAATTAATTACCATAGGAGAATTTCGAAACGTGTCAAGAATCTTTAAAGCCATTTCATAGTCCCGTAACAGATGATAAGAAATTGCAAAGCCAATCCATGAAGCCCGCTGGGTCGGTCTGAGCATGAATAATTGATACCTGGTGTCCTGAAAATTGAAAAAGACGAATTCGTTCATTTAACAATTAGCAACGATTTTTAAATTCCTACATTAGTATTTTAAAAAAAACCAGATAAATAAATTACAAACTAAAAATATGCATAATGTGAAATTTTTCTGAAAGTTTTAAGTATATTTTAATCAGCTTTTTGAAGAAAAAAAAATCTATTAATCAAATTCTTTTTAAACTTTCTTGAATCAACTTTCACGACTGGTAACTTTTAATGGAAAACGTGTATCGTTAATGTAGGTAAATAATATTAATTGCAAAGAAAATAAACTTAGATATGTTAAAAAAAAACAATTTACCAGTAAAATAACTTAATTTTACAACTTCTGCTTGATAATTATTTGTAAAAATATAAAATTATTGAAATGTGTGACACATTGCAAAACTTCTGGTTTTAGTATTTAATGTAGAAGTTGTAGATTTTTTTCTCTTTTAACGTTAATGGATTCTTAAGCTGTAAATTTGACGAAAAGTCCCGAAAGTGCTTACTCGAAACTTAATTAATTAATAAAAAAATGTAACACCATCTTATAGTTTAAAATAAATATTAGAAAAGTGACAAAAAAGAAAGTTCGTTTCAACTACTAAAATTAACTGTAACAATAACAAAAATAGATTTTAAATATATTTTTACAAATATAATTATTAAAAAGTGCAAATTTACATTATTTCACGAAAATATTTCAACTACTACTTTAAATCTTTAACTAAATCAGGGTGGTCACAAGTTTCAGTTTACCAATTTTCCTGACATTTCGCTGACAAATTTACTGACATTAAAATTATTTTCTCTGCCAAAATTCTTTTCACGGGAAAATATGAAAGTTTACGAAAAATGAGTCCAAAAAAGTACATTTTTATTTGCTTTATTAGAAGATAATTAAATCTTGAAAAAATTGTGATAAAGGAATTCTAAGAATTGAGTAGTTTTTTAAAATATTTTAATGTAATTTTTCAAAAACAATTTAATTTTTTAAAAAAGTTTCTGTAATATTTAAAAAAAAAACTAATTAATTTCTTGATGAATTTTAATTAAATATTTTGAACATGATTTTTTTCTCCAAAATGTTAAAAATAATTCTAAAATGTTATTATTTTTTGTATGTATTTGAATTTTCGGAAATATGTAATTGAAAGTACTGAAATACTAAATTTAAAAAAGTTAGAAGTTAATTTTCATTAATTTTCATTTTTAAATTTACGTTTAAAGATTTGGTTTTACTTAATTACCAAATATTTTTCATTAAAATTTTTGATAATTCAATTATTTTGAAAATTTGCAATTAAAATTCTCAAATAGTTGATTTTCAACAATATTAACAAAACACTTTCAAAACATTAATTATTTTCAATTAAATTTTACAAAATTTCAATTATTCAAAATCTTTTTAATTCCTATATTTCGAAAATTTAAATAAAAAATGATTCAAACATAATTTTTGAGAGACTTTTTTATAGTTATTTTTCGCACTATAAAAATCGAAATGAGTTACATTTAATACTAAAAATTATGATATTTTGTTGCAATATTTGGAAGAGAAGTCGAGGAAGTCGCAATTTTTGAAAATAAGTCGAAAAAATATCAATTTTCTTAATTTTCCTGACAAAAAAATTTTTTTTCCTTAAATTTTCCTGACTTTACTGTCAAAAATTTTGGTTTACTGACATTTTACTGACATTTCCCTGACTTTACTGACTTTATTCACATGTGGCCACCCTGTAAATTAATAAAAGTCGTAAATATAATAAGTATATTTTTCAGTTTTCAAAAATTGCAATAAATTTTATCTCTTATGCTTTGCGAATTATTTCTGACAGTATTAATTTTTTAAAATTAATTTGTAACGACTTTAATAGAAACACAAAAAACTAACCCATTTGCTACGAAATTATAAAGAAAATTAAATAATTCTAAAAGATTTTTCTCAATTCAATAAGTCATTGATTTCAGTAAATCTAGACCCAGAGAATTTTTCTTTTTAAAGACACTAAAAATTATTACATTCAGATACAACTTATTCAAACTAAATAAATATATTATGTTCGCCTCATACTTATATTTGTTACGAACAGAATATTATTTGACGCAAACAAATTTTTATTTAATTGTAAAATGTATTTGCAAGTTGCTAGTAAAAATTATTTGCAAATTGCTAGTAAAATGTATTTGCAAATTCTTAGTAAAATTCATTTGCAAATTGATTGTGAAATTTATTTGAAAATTAATTGTAAAATTTATTTGAAAATTAATTGTAAATTTTTTTTGAAAATTGATTGTAAAATAAAATAAAAAAGATTGAGTAAATTGTAAAATGAGATGAACCTTGTAGCCATCGAGATCGCGCATCTGAATTTGAAGAAGGGACAAATCTCGAAGGATTTGAATGTTGTCTTTGTCCCATTTGAGAGCGTTCCGATAACACTTGATAGCTTCGTCGTATTTTTTATCTGATCGCTGGAGCAATCCGTAAACGTGCCAGCACACATGCGATTGCAAATCGTTTCTCAGTCCACGTCTAACATGATCGTAAGCTTCCTCTTTACGGCCGAGACAATTCAGCGTGAGGCCCTTCATCGCCAACGTCTCTCCATGTTCGCTGAATTTTGGATTCGACAGAATTTGTTTCGCGAACTTCAATCCATTTTTGTATTGTTTGTGTTCGTAGCATCTCTACAAAAATTACAAACAACACAATTTAATAATACTGCAAACAATAATAATAATAATAATAATAAATAATAATAATATATTTTTATGAATTTATCACTTGGTAAAAATTATATAATTTAAATTAAAAGGAATAATAACAATAGACAGTTGAAGTATTAAATAAACAAATGTTAAATAAATAAATGTTATTTCTGATATTAAAATATTTTTTTAAATTACTAATTTACTTTTATCTTTTGATTTTATGTTTAAAAGTTTGAAAAATATTCTTGGCTTCGCTTTAATGTTAAATATTATTTTTTGCAATGTTATTTAAATTCCTTTGAGTATTAACTATTTAATTTCCAATGTTATTTATTTTTGAACTTTTTTGATCTATTTTGAATAGTTATTTATTTCAAAGTTTCCAAGCCTCTAACATAAGAAAGAAAATAATTGTCTTATATAATAATAGAAAAATAAATTGTTTACAAATGGCTGAATATAAAAATTTAATTTTAAAGCAATTCTTTAGTTCTAGAAATCGACTTACAGAAATTAAATTACATATTAATTTTTACTACAAAATACAATTAATTTTTTCAAAAAAATTAGATCCTTTATTTTATTTAAAAAACAGAATGAAAAATTCCCTTCCATGGTACTCTTATATAATTATAAAATTAACTATTAAGTTTACTTTTAAGTACAAATAATTTTCCAAAAAGCTTTGTCTCCAGTTCCAATGTTTTTAATAATAAAAACAGTTCACAAACATTAATATTTTTCATATAATTTTATGAATGAGAATTATTTTTCTGCAGGATACATTAATAAAAATAAATAATGACAGAACGAAAAAAATTGTCAAAATTAATTTTGATAAAATTATCCAAATTTCTAGAACACAAAATAGGTGAATATTATCGAAATGAAAATTCATTGAGAGACAAATTTTCTCAAAAATTGTAAAAATTCAAAGAAATGCATAAATTATGTCAAGTTTATTTCAACAAAAAGTTCTCATTTATAATACAGTAAAATAAATTCGACGACAAATTTTTTAAATCTCGATATTATTTCGCAGAATACAAATATTTCAAGAAGCAAAATAAATTACAAGAGCTTGTCAATTTTGATAAAATGTTGACAGTTCAATTACGAATTACTAGATAGTCAATAAAGTTTGTTGCACATTTACTAATTACATGATAACAATTAACAAATCTATGTCCAATTTGTCAGAAAGGTTGGGTTTTTCTCGGGGAGAAGGAAAAGAAAAAAGTTCGTCCTCGTTCCACCAAATCTCCGAAAGACGTAAAATAGTCACCAGAATAAACGACAGAATTAGAATATATTATGCAGTCGACAAATTACAGTCAAGATAGAGGGTCATAAAAAAATTGCTACTTTAAAAAGAAGAGCAAGGGAGGCAAAAGTGGAGCAAGTTAAAAATTTTGTATATACAGTATAAACGATTGTGGTTAGGATAAAATTGTCTTGTCAATAAAAACGAAATAAGGTTAGATTGATAATGAAACTAAGCACAGAATTCGCTTGCCATTGAATTTTTTTAAACATTTTTTCCTGTGTGCTTTTATCATTAGATTGTCGACTTTGCTATTAGAGCCGGGGGAGTGGGGTCCAAAACAACGAGTATTTTCACAGGGGTTTGTTACTCACCAAAATTCGCTTAAACAATGCATTCTCTTTAGGTGGCAGGGGATAGCTGGAAGGCATTTTTGTATGACTACAAAAATAGAGGGCTTTTTTTCACCCAGTTCACACAATTTTCACCACAAAAACCTCGTGGCCACAAACGACGAACTCGATCACCGATCACGTGATCATTCGCGACAATGTTGTTCCGGCGGAAGTGCTGATTTCACGGCGACCGGCGCGAATCACGTGAATTTATCAATAAATTAACGCGAGTTTCTTTACAATGCGAAATGAATTTTCAGTTCCTCGGATTTTTGAAAATATTTTCTAATAATTCCAAACGAGAGATGATGCGAAACGCGATGGGAGGGAAAGCGCAAATGCTTGGCCGATTGTGAGTTCTCATGAAACGAGAGTTAAGGTTAAAGTAAATTGTCAACGACCAATCACGAAGCGGGTTGCACGATTTTCATTGGTCATTGCTAAGTCGACCGGAATGTTCCTAGAGCAATGTGATTTTTATTGCTTTCTCAACGCGGGGTTTTTGAATATCAAAATTGAAATTTTATTAACTATTAACATAATTTACATAATTAATAAAAACTTTTAAAGTAAATGTAAATTGTATTTATTTTCTATGTTTAATTTGATTAAAATGTTTACAAAAACAGAAGAAAACACTGCAAATTGATAAAGAATATTAAAAATAATTATAACAATTAAATTTATTAAATCTAAATTAGTAAATGTAAGTTAGTAATTAATATATTATTAATAAACATAATAATTTAATCACAAAATTTTAAATGTTCGATAAGTATCGAAGAGTATCGATTTTCTCCGCGCAAACGCAGAACGGACAAAAACACGTTTTTTGCTTTGTTTATACTCTGCCACTCTGCATTATAATTTCACATATTAATTTTAATATTTATTTATTATTTCATTAAATGTGGAAATTATATTTTACTTTAGACTAGTTTTATAAAATTATAAATAATTTGATTGTAGTTTGTCATTTAATAATATGCAGATGGTGCAGATTTTAAATACTACTAGTTTTTAGGTTAGGAAGTAAAATTTTATAAATATCGGTGAATATAATTAAAGAGAAAAATTATTTTTCTTCAACAAAAAAAGATGGAATTACGATCTCCCGTTTGTGGAAAATTATGCGGTGCATTGTTACTTGAACACTTTGGTTCAATTGTTCAAAATGTGGCAATGGACTTATTTAAAAATGGTGAAAAATCTTTGAATTCAATTCGCAGTACCACTAAATTACAATTATCAAAGGTGAGAAAAATTATTTTAATTTGTTGCTTGGTATATTTTCGTTAAAATAAATGAAGTATGTAGACTATAAATTACATACATTTTTAAAAAAATGTAAAATATAATTTAAAATTTAAGACGAATTTCACAATTTTTTATTATAAACAATTAAATTGCAGATTCAAGAGGCATTATGCGTTTTAATTAAACTTGGATTCGTTTCTTATCAACAAAATAGTAAAGGAATTCTTATGTACACCATTGATGTGGAGAAAATTATTTTAATTTTAAGATACTCCAGGTAAGCAGAGTTTCTTTTTAAAATTTGAATTTTTTAGTTGTTTTATGAAATTTTAATTATTTTCTGTTAATTTAAATATTACGTTGGTTTAATTTTTTATAGTTAATTTAGTTTTGTTACGTTGATTTAATTTTGTAAAGTTAATTTAATTCTTTGTACAGATTTATGTTCTTTGTAAAAGACAATTGTGGAGATGAGTCTGAAATGTTGTTCGAAGAAATTCTAAAACATGGATATGAAACGGCTTCGAATGTTATAATAAAAATATACAAGAGGCAACTGTGTAATCGTCGTGAGTATTATAGTTTAATAATTGAACACAAGTTAACAACTTAAATACTGACAATTTTCTAAATTGTTATTTTGAAAATTCTCAAGTTTTACTTAAATTTTACTTCAATCAGAATTCAGTAGTTTTTATTCTCTGTCATCTATTTTTTTTCAGCCGAGAGACAATATTCGCTGCCAGTTCTGAAGGAGAAATTCGAACTCCTCGTGCAAAATCAGTTTTTAATGCGAAGTGTTTGCTCGGAGAAGTGCAGCGACGAAGGACCAACAGAAAGACAGGACTTTAGTCTTCCCAACCTAGATCTAAAAAGTTTGACTCTAATGGCGAAGGGTGCCAATGGTGATCCAGGTGACGCTAAAATTTACTGGCGTGTGAATTACGATCGATTCGCACAAGATCTTCGGTAATTAATCAAATATTTTTCAAATCCTGCTGTTATTCATTATTTTTATTATCTTCCCGAATTTGATTTTATTTCCTAGAGATCTTATTTTTTCTTAATGTGGCAAAAAGAATTAGTTTCAATTTTAGAAGATCCTTTTCAAAATTAATTATTTTTCAGGGATCAGCTTCTTATTTCGGCAATAACGAAACGAATCGATGCCAATGCTGGTGAATTAATGCGAAGAATGTTGTATCAAATGTATTTACGTACAGCTTCCTGGGCCGATACATCGAATCCAATTCCATTCACCGAATTGCGAGATGTCATAAAGAAACTTGAAAGTCCGGGTCCTGGACTTATTCAATATTTAGATCAATATTTGCATCTTATAGGTGAAATATTTTTATTTATCATTTTTAGATCGTTAGGCAGTAATTTTCTTATTATCTTTTAATTCTATTTAAATTTTGAAATATTCATTTATATGAATGAAATATCGAAATTTTGAAATTAATTCCATAGAAATTTTTCTTCTTTGAAACTGAATTTTCAGAGGAAGATTCCTGTCAGTTTATAAGAAAAGTTGGTGACTCGAGTGGAGGACAATTTAGCATAAACATGAAAGAAGCGATCAATCAATTGGCATGGGCGACAATAGAAAATATTGTAATGGAAAGATTCGGATCAAAAGCGGCTCGAGTGTTTAGGTAAAAAAATACTTTTTTGGAATAGAATGAAACAAATTTTCATCATTTTTAACATTTTTATACTGAAAATTAAAATATTTTACAAACAAAGATTTAGTAATGTTTAGTAACTTGAAACTAATTATACAGGAGAATTGAATCGAGATATGAAGAAATACTATTTTTAGCTATTAGTTCTTCACAATGTGTAAAAAAAATAATTTGTCAAAATTTTCTACAATTTAGATTGATACGAGCGCAAAAGTTCATAGAGCAGGAGAAAATACAACAAATGGCAATGACACCGGCAAAGGAAACAAAGCACATTACGTACACTTTATTGCAAGAAAATTACATTCAATTGCAGGAGGTTAGAAAGCCGGGAGTTTCAGCAGCACCGATGAAAACGTTTTTTCTCTTTCACATTGATTTGGATCAAGTGGTGCGAATGGCGATTGAGCATTGCTTTCATGCCCTCCACAATACCATTCAAAGGCGAGAATACGAAACTTCCACCAATAAAAGAATGATTGATAAGCATTTGAAAATTCAGACACTCACCGCCACATTCAAAGAGAAGGGGGCTACACAGGAACAATTGGAAGAGGTTTGTAGACATCTTTTCCTCTTTTTCATAATCACAAAAATATATTTTCTTTCTTAAAAAAATCCCCATTATTTTGTAAATTAAAAAATTTTATATTTTCAAGAATAAACATCAATTTTTGAATGATTATAGATTTAAATTTAAATAATTCACTTATTAAGTACATAATATTAAATATTCTTGTTTATTATTATCCAAAAATTTTAATAAAATTTTTCGCAAGAATTTCATTATTCCCATAAATAATATTATTTTCAATACAATTTTAATAAAATTTCTCGAAAGAATACAATTATTTTTAAAAATATTAATTAAACTCGATGATTTTTAAGAATCTATATTAATAAAATCAGACTTCTGTCTGTACATTGTTCCAAGCTTGAAAATTTTTATATATTTTTTCGTTTTGAGACATTAGAATTCGAAAAATGTAAAAAAAAAAATTCTGTCTGTCTGTCTGTCTGTATGCAAAACTTTGTTTTGTTTAACCAATTCAAGTGAAACTTGGCAGTCTATTAGGTATTAACGTAACTTAAAATTTATGACATTTTTCCAAAAAATTCGAAAAATCAAAAAAATGCAAATTTTTTGTAAAATGAACGCAAAACTATCCTTAGCTAACTTTTTCAGATAAATAGAACCAATTTCTACAATAAAATTTTAATAAAAGACGCATTTTGAAATTTTTTTCGTTTTTTTAGATCAACTTTTTTCTCAAAAATCAGTCAGAGAAGCAAGCTAAATGCAGTAAATGAGAAGAAAAAATGTTGAATTTTAAGAAATTCGGTTTTTCGAATTTTTGATAATTTTTAATAATTTTAAATTTTTTACCTAAGCGTGGAGACTATTAAATAAGTAAAGTATTTTTGAAGAGCCCAAAAATAATAAAGCTAAATGAAGTAAATGAGAAGAAAAAATTTTGAATTTTAAGAAATTCGGGTTTTCGAATTTTTGATAATTTTTAATAATTTCGAATTTTTTACTAAAGGGTGGAGACTATTAAATAAGTAATATTTTCCTACTGAAATAGCTAATGGTAACTAATTATTATTTTTTTGCGGTCAAATTAAAATCCCGGCTATTTCGTGATTTTCCAGATTGGTAGAAACACTGTTAAATGTATTGGTAGAAATTAAAACCCGTCGAAGACGGGTACGACAGCTAGTTTTTAATAAGATTCCTTCAAAAAATTCAATTATTTCCAAAAATTCAGATAAAATTCTTCGAAACAGTTAAATTATTTTTATGAATTGTAAAATCCTCCACAAGAATTCAATTATTTTCATAAATAAGAAAATTCTTCGCAAGATTAAAATATTTTCATAAATAATTAAATTTTTCTAATGAATTCAATTATTTTCATAATTAATAAATTTTTTTACAAAGATTCAATTATTTTCATGAATAATAAAAGTCATCATAGAATTTCAATTATTTTTAATACAATTTTAACCGAATTCCTCGAAAAATATAATTCTTCTTGAAAATTTGATTAAAATTCGTCTAAAAAATTCGATTATTTAAAAATTTGTTGATAAAATTCTTTATGAGAATTCAATTTTGAGAAACATTCATTTATTCAATAATTTTTTCATTTTTGTATTTAAATAATTGAATTCTCGTAGAATTTTCTAATAAAAATTGTTTTAAAAATGAATTTCAGATAAAAAATTAAAAATATTTGATAATTGTTTATTTATTTCTTTTGAAGAATTTTATGAAAATTTTTTAAATTAACTACATTTTTCGAATAAAAATAATTTTAAAAAATAATAAAAATAATAATAAATAATAATAATAACAATAAAAATAATTGAAATCTTGAGAAGAATTTTATTATTTATGAAAATAATTGAATTCTTAGAACGAATTTTATTAAATTTTTTTTAAATAATTGAATTATTTTAAGAAATTTTATTAAAATAGTATATTTTGAAAATGTTTTAATTTCAGCGAAGAATTTCATTATTTGTGAAATGTAATTGAAGTCTTGCAAAAAATGTTTGTAAATAATTACATTTTTCGTGGAATTCATTTAAAATTGTATTAAAAATAATTGAAATCCTAGGAAAAATTTTATTATTTATGACAATAATTGAATTCTTACAACGAATTTTATTACATTTTTTTAAATAATTGAAATGATGTGAAAAATGAAATCTTGCGAAGGATTTTATTAAAAGTTTTGTAAATAATTTAATTTTTTTTTTTTTTGAAAAATTTTATAGAAATTTAAATTATTATAAGTTATTGAATGTCAAAAGGTTTAAATTTGAATTTTTTTAATATCTTAATTACTATAGAATCTAATTTAAAACGGTGAACAGATTATCGGAATACAACGATCATTAATATAGAATTTTTTATTCAAAACAGCTATTTGTCAATTTTTGTAATAATCTCGTTCGTTTTGGTCACTTTTTACTTGCTTAGATTTTTGTAATTCGTTTTTGAAAAAAAGAAATGTTTAAAATTATCTTTTAATATTATTTTTCTATTAAAAAAATACACAAATAATAAAGATGAAGAATTTTGAAGAGAAGTATATAAATAATGAAAAATGTGTTTACTAGATGGAGAGTATGATGACCCTGCCGGAGAAAACGCAATTGGAAAAAGTGACAAATCAAGTGAAACAATTGGGTGTCAGTGAATTGCAAATTGACGACACTCTCTTTTTATTGACAACATATTTGCGTTACAATGAAAAGAAGAAAAAAGAAACGACAAAGTGAATATGTGGATGGATTGATGAAATGAAGAAACAATGTTTTCATTTATATAGGTATTTATTTATATGTAATAATAATGAGTACGCTTGTAAAATACAAACAACAAAGAGTACCTAGCTTTTAAATTATTATAATAAATATAATGATATATCTATGTTTATAATAGTGCTGTTCTCTATGTGTGATATAGTGCATTTCATGTCACTATCCTTGGAAGGGAGAGGAGAAGTCACATCTAGGACCGTAGAATAATTTTTTTCTTTCATTTTGCGTAAACGAGTCAATATACACTAACGCGATTGAAAGCAAGATAACGGTCACTTGAAACGCTTGAAACAATTGTTGAGCTTAGTTTCAAATACGTACGGTTGATGTCCGCATTATCAATGCTAATGGCACGTTTCCAATTTTTTTTTTCTTTTAGAAATAATTTTTTCTACGACAATTATTTATTTTGACGAAATTTTGCAAAAATTTAAACTTTACTAATTTTCCTCCCCCCGAAAATAAAAAATACCTTTCTAAGATTGGTAATAATTTGCTTTAATTTTTTTTTTGATTTTGAATTTCATAAAGCTAGTTGGTGGCCTTGATAATGCGAACAACATCCGTGAGATTCATTCTCGCTATTTCCGTTTTTTTTTTGTTTTTTTTCCATTTACTCAATTTAAAATATTTACAGTATTTTTTTCGACAAACGTTCTTCGCATTCACTCAAACTTCTAAATAGAAATAACGTCGTACACCTATTAACTAAGTTTGAAGTTTTTTTCGGTAAAGCATTACTTTTCTTTTTTTTAATTATTTATTATATATTTTTTTTTCTTTATCATTAACAACAACGTACATATAAACGAAGTGAATGCTTGGAATATTGAGATTGAATGTTAGTTTGACGCGCGCGTCTTTTTCTTTTTTTTATCATTACATAGTGTATATTATAGTATTAGTAAATTGTATTCAATTTTAATTTTTACAATTCGCTATTCTTACATTTTGCATTCGCTCAGGTAAGCGTCGAAAGTCACTTCAAAAGTGTTGTCACAAAACGAAAGAAGAAAAATATTTTTTCATGTATTCGAATTTGGAAAAAAATTAAAATTGTTTTTTTTCTTTTTTTCGGAAGAAAAGAAGCTTTTCGATTAGTTACGAATTTTTGAACTATCGTTGTGTCGATATAAATGATTTTTAATGTAAAACTCGATATGGCACTTGAAAGAATTGAATTAAGAGACTTTCGACGTACCCGCTTTTGTTTCGGAGTACGAAGTAGTATCGATAAGTAGCGATAAAAGTAATAATACCCTTTCGAAGAGTGCAGGTCTTTGGAAGTGACAACTGGCTGGAATAGTGATGGGATATCAAAAGATTTTTATTCTTCGACCATTTTTTCAAATTTCTGAAATAATTGAAATTTATTTAGATTCTAAATTTCCAATCGCAATATCGAGATTTATGGATCATTGAAATGTTTTTTATCGATATCCCATCACCAGACTGAAAAATAGCGGAAGACTATAGGAGCCAATAGGCTTTGAAGAAAATTTCATTTGAATGGCAAAGAATATAAAGAAAATTTGAGTATCAATGTTCGACTTTTTTTTCCTCTTAAACTGGCACAAATTTGGCGCAATTGGCTCTCACTCTCTTGTTCTCTCTTACAAACACATTTACACATTCAGACGCGCGCAATGTAATTTCTCTCTCTCTCTCTCTCTTTTTCTCACTGACATTCCGATTTCTCACGCCTTCTACCGTAAATTGGATGAATAAAAATAAAAAATAATGAAAAATCGCCTATTTGAAAAATAGAAAACAAAATAATATGTGTGCTGATAAATCGGACTAATATGAATAATGAATTACAATAGTATGACAATAATAACAATTAGGCGAGTGATAGTTTAATGGCTAATTGAATCGCATTCTGCCCGTTAATTAATTATACACATAGAGGCGATAGAGCTACGTATAGGTACATCACAATTAATATAGTTACACTGTACATTAATAATGTTTAATATTGACACGTGGCATCGGCCGTCGCTGAAAATATGACACTCGCTGCCTTGTACAAATTCATTTATATATACATTAAATAAATTATTATCAACATATTTAAGCTATTCTCCTAGTCCAGCGCGCGAAGAAGCGACTGCGATGCCACCGGGAAAAAAAATGGTTTCACCCACTTTTTTTCTCTCTTCATTATACATATAATAATTAAAAGTTCTTTTTGCGGCAAGGGGGAAGAGATAATTTAGAGTGGGGGCGGGGAAGAATTCAAGGGGGCAGCATATCGGGGCTATAACCGAGGATACTGGCTCTCTTTGTTAAATTATATTTAGGTACCTTGTATTCGTCATTGCACTCATCATAAATTAACAAACAAAAAAAAATTTGAACAGTATAAAGAAAAACGGTCGAGACGCAATATTGATTTCAATGCGCTTGAATATTCCTCAGAATTCCCATTCTTTTTTGTAAAAAGAAAATTTACTTCACTCTTTATTGGCAAATTGAAAAGAATTACAATTTTTAATTTAAAAACAAAAAATTACTAATATTTACTATTTTTCGGAAAAATTATACAAAAACAAAACTCACTTTTCAATATTAAGTTAACAAAAATAGTGTAATGTAAATATTTAACAAAAATTTCCCCTAAATAACGTTTCGATAGCGTATTTTCGAAAATTATAACTAAATTTACAATGTTTACAATTTATTATAGATTTTTAATAAAATTTTTCCAAAATATAAAAATTCTTTGCCCTTATCTATAATATAAATACATTTTTTTTACAACAAAACACGTGGTTAGAAAAAAAGTTAAAATAAAGATTTTTTGTTAAAAGAACTGAAAAAGACTGAAGAAATTAGAAATATATTTAATAAAACTTGAAAAAACTTCGTCAAAAACATAACGACATTTCACTAGAGAAAGAAACTAAAAAAAAACTTTTGTACAAACTAAAAATTATTTTCTTAAAATATTCATTTTTGTTAAAGAAACTAAAAAAAGACTAAAAAAATAGAAATATTTTTTTAAATTTAAGATTTCGTAAATTTGTTTCCCTAGATAAACTAAAAAATAAAATCAATATTTCGATATTTTATATCAACATATTGATTTAAACAATTTTTTAAAAATATTTTTCAAACAATAATTATTTCTACGACGCTTTTTTCTTTTTTAAAAAAATAAATAATATCAAAATTGCTTTTGAGAAATATTCAAACACTTGAAAGATTGAAGTTTCACGTCGAGCCAACGAGGCGACTCGGAACACGGAGGACTCTTTTAAAATAATGGACCTCCTGCCCGCGAAAACGCTATTTGGCACATAAGTATTATCACATCAAGTTCTTGATATCCTCGTGTTCCAAAGGACGATAAATGTCGAGGAAATATTTTTTTTACCCAAATAATTCTTTACAACTTTGATTCCATTTTTACCCCCCTCACCCCTTTTTTCTTTAATTCAACGACATTCACGTCCTTTTTTTCTCTTCTTATAGTCTTAACTCTACTAATTTCTTTTTATTTTGATTAAACTTCATTAAAGTCATGTAATAAATAACAAATTTTAATAATATAAAAAATCTTCTAAGGATTTGATTATTTGAAACTCAAGTAATCGGTAGAAAAAATTTAAAAATAATAATGGCATGTTGATTATAGTAGTAATAATAATAATAATAATAATAATAATAATAATAATAATAGTAATTATGCTAAATATAATAATAAATGGATCGAGGATATCTCTTCTCTTTCTAATAAATTTGTCTCTTAGGCGTTCGCTCGGCTTTTCACTTCCTCTCGCACGAACTCGTTCGATATAAAAAAAAGAATAGAAAAACGTAACACGATCCTGTCCGAGATAAAAACAATACAACGTTTTTTATAATATAATTTGATTGTTAGCCTATTATCCATTAATAAATAACACTAATTCTCGTAATTTTACAATAGTAACAAGTTTTCCTAAAAATTGTCACGCATTTCTTCTTTTCTTTTTTTATATTTATATATTTTTTGTCATATCTCACACTTCAAATCAGGTCCAATACTTGAATCGAGTTTTGTGTGAAACTTGATTCGAAAAGGTTAAAAAAATATTGAATTTTAGAAATTTATTCAAAGGGCATAGAGGAGTTAAGTATGCAAAAATATATATTGAAGAGGAAAGTCTAGGAAATTTTTAAAAACAAAAATTGGATGTGTACCTTTAAAACAAAAATCAAAAACATTTTTTTGAAAATTTTAAAATTAATTTTTTTGAAAAAATTTTGAAAAAAATGAGTTTTTTTTAAAAAAGTCGTTTTTTGAAAAATCTACATTATTTAAAAATCCGGAAAATATATATTAGAGCGGACATTCTAAGGTATTTTTTATAAGAAAAATCGGAGGTGTATCTTTAAAAAAAAATTTTGAACAGTTTTTTAAAAATTTCAAAATTAATTTTTTGTCTTAATTTTTTTTTTTGAAAAAAATGTTGAAAATTTAATTTTTAAATTGTGTTATCTATATTTGTGGCATATTTAAATTTCATTTAAATCGGTTAAGTAGTTTCCGAAAAAAATGAGTTTATTGATTTTTCTTTCCCCTATGCCCTTTCGAAAATTTTTCCGGTAAAACTAAAGAATTTTTCAAATGGTAATTTCGTTGAAAAATCTCGAGACAAGATTAAATTCGTTGGACCTGATTTTCATTCAGAACAATCTCTTTCAGCATTTTGTCAGGTTCAATAAATAAATGATTGAAAATACTATAAGTACAAGGTGTTTTCTTTTCATCTGTTTTCTGCGGAGTTTGCACAACTCGAAACGCATATGGAATCATTTGCGCCGATTCCGATGATTCCCGTTTCCTGAGAGCGGAAACGGAAAAAAGTACAGGTCGGCAATAAGTAAATGTAGGCGAGCAAGTTGAAACCGGTTAAAAGCGTTGTCCCGAGGTTTTGCTCCGACCTACAGGTGCGAGGCTTGAATGGTTATTCAAGTTACTCGCAGAATAACCACTAGGAAGGTTTTATAATAGGAACAAGACTTTTCGAGTCTTATGTAATTAAAAGTTTGCTTTTTTATCTACTTAAAAGAGTGTGAGTCCGATTGCACTCGGAAATCGTTCAATGTCTCCTAGGGGGATTCTTTAGACTATGAGAGCAGAAAACTGGGGCGCGATGGCACAGAGACAGACCTTTCTTTTTTAATATCACAACCAAGTTTCAAGTCTCGTCGATTCTGCGACTGCTGCGACTGGTGCGACTCCCGGCGCGGCGCGGCTCGGCGGGGAGCTGGAACGTTATGACCTGGTCGAAATGGCGTGCGTCCTGGTTACCAGAACATTTCGTGGCTGAGTCTCGAAGCTCCGGGTTGCCAAATGTTCGGCGGACCCGGAGCCATGGTTCAATCCTCGTCCGGGTGCCGGGGACTCGCGTCATAGCCGCCCATCGAGCCCGAGTTGTCGGGGGAGAAGTTCATGACGTCCGAGGGCGACAGACTGTCCTGGGGGTAGTAGAACGAGGGGTGGTCGGAGCTGGGGCCGGCGCCGTTGAGCATCGAGGGTGGCGGCGACACCGAGGGCCTCGCCGAGGGCCCAGCGCCCGAGTGGTGCGTGCTCAGGTCCGAGCTCACTGGCGACAGGAAGCCCATCTCGGGACCGCCGTCGCGGCACCACAGTTGGCGCATCTCCTGGCGACGCTGTCGCATCAGCGACTTGTACTCGGAGATTCGCATCTTCTTCCCGTCGACGATGCACGTCCGCTTGGGGCGCGGCCTGTACCTGTAGTCCGGGTGCTTTTCCATGTGCAACTTGGACAGTCGCGACTGCTCCTCGTAGTAGGGCTGCTTCTCCGAGTTGGACATTGCTTTCCATCGTGCTCCTGAAAAAAAATACAGTTACATTAACAATTGAGGATAAAATTCAAAAAACCACAATGTACACAAAAATTTATTTGAAAAATAAATAATTGTTAATATTTGTCAATCTGTTGATTTTAAACAATTCGAATCATGAACAGGGTTACCACAAAAAATTAATTTTGTTTTTCCCTAACTTTTTCCTGATTCTAAGAAATATTCTGATTCACTCTAAACATTATTAGATATACTCCAAAAAATATTCTATTACATTTATTTACGAATTTCTTTAATTATAAAATTATTTAAAAACATTAATAACTTCTTTTTTAAATCAATATTTAATCACTATTATTTTTCCACAGGAATTAAGTTTTTCAAAAATTTCAAAATAAAACCTTAAAATTCAAAGACTTGTAAGAATATTATTACAAAGAAGAAGAAATCGATCATTCCAAATCTTCGACTCGGACTGATCAATTTTTACAATTCAATTTTACGAAATTTCGATTATTCGAAAATTTTTCAATCAAATATATATTAGAAAATAAAAAATTCAAATAATTTCAAAAAAATATTTATTGAAACTTTTTCAAACAACTTAATTTTACTGAATTGTTAGTTAAAAGTATATAAAAAATTCAATTTTTTAATAATTTTAATCCAAAATCTTTTCAAAATTCAATTATTTTTAAAAATTCACGCTATAATGCTTTCAACATTCAATTATTATTTAAAATTTTAACTAAAATTCATTTTAAAATCAATTTTTTTTAAATTCTACAAAAATTCGAATATTTAAATACAAAAATAAATAATTCATTCAATAATTGAATGTTTCTCAAAATTGAATTCTTTTGACGAATTTTAAATTCGATAAAAATAAAAAAAAATAAATAAATAAATAAATAAATAATAAATAAATAAATAAATAAATAAATAATAAATAATAAATAAATAATTCGATAAAAATTATTTTAAAAATCATTGAAATTCCGCGATGAGTTAAATCGCGGAGTTTTAATATATTAAAATTTTTTTTAAACAATTGAATTCTTTTGGAAAATTTTATTAAAATAGTAGATATTGAAAATCATTGAATTGAGGAAATTTTTTGGAAATAATTTAAATTATGCCAAGATTTTTAATAAAATTTTTGAAAATAATTGAATTTTAAAGAAGATTATTATTTATAAAGGTAATTGAAATTTTGACGAGAATTTTTAGATATTTTTCAAAATAATTGAATTTTTCTGTAGAATTTTATTACTTTTGAAAATAATTGAATTTCTGCAATCATTTGTAACTTTTTCAAAATTCAATTCTTTTTAGAGTTTTAAACTAAGATTTTTCAATAGATCCATTATTTGTAATAATTTATTAATTTAATATATTTTGGAAAATTTAACTACTCTCAGAAGAATTTGAATTAATCAAATTTTTCAAAAATCTAAGTTCTTTAAAATTTCTCAAAATTGAAATTTTACAAAAATTTCAAATTGAAACCTTTTGAAGGTCATCTATTTATATGTAAATTATAAAAGCAATTCTTTTAAAATTTAATTAATTTTGAAATATTTAAGTAAACAAAAATTTAAGGCGAACAAAAAAGACACCAAAATTCAGAATTTTCTTATAAATTCTAAAAGTTTAATGTTTTTCGATTATTAAGTAATAATTATACAATTAATTAACATAACGAATAAATAGTATCTATAAATAAAGAAAACCTAGATTCGAAACAATTTAGATTTTGATTTTTACCCAGAAAAACAGTAATTTACAAAACTGTTTGACGTGAAACAAAGCTTTATGACAAATCGTTAAATAAAATTCTGTGCCAAATTGCAATAAATTTTATTTCATATTCCAAAGGTGGAAATTATCATTATTCATTTTTCGCAGTTGCATTAATTCAATGAACCGTCGCCGAAGAAAATTAATAGAAAGAAATGAAATTTGTTTCAAAATTTTAATTAAAATTTTTGAGGTACAAAAAGCAGTATCTTCTATATTTTAAATTTTTAATGTTTTTTTCATTGTAAACAAATACTTACCGAGAATTTTGGATATGTTCGAATTGTGCATGTCAGGACATGCTTTAAGGATCTTCCTTCGTTCGTCTTTTGCCCACACCATAAAAGCGTTCATTGGTCGCTTGATATGTGGCTTGTTTTCCCCTTCCCTCTTCTGTTGCCTCACCATTTTGGCTGAAGAAATAAACAAAACGGTCGAAATTAATTTATAGTTTCAATAAACCAAAAAATCAGTTAACAATTTAAAAGAAGAACGCGGAAAAGAAATTTTACTTGGAATGGATATAAATTTCACTATTTTAGCGAAATTTTTAGTTCTTTCAGTTAAAACTTTCGCTATTAACTTATCACTGTTCCAGATAAAAACTTTTTTCCGTGAAGTGATGAAAATTTAAATTGAAATATTGTTAAATTACTTGGAATATTAATTAATTTTACCTTTTTCTGTTATGTCTTCTGGAACCTTGTAGCCTTGTTCCCTCCACACTGAAAATAATTATTTTTTAATTAAATTGATTTCTTTAGAATTGCTTTCGAAGATATTGAGGTGTTTATTTCGTATAATAAAGGTGGAAGAAGAATTTTAGAGGACAAAATAGTTTTATTTAACTTACTGTGAGGAGATGTAAGAAAGTCCACATCATCGGGAGGAGGCTCGTCCCGATTTGACGAAAGTTTGACGGGTCGTTGAGTTTGAGGTGACGGTGGCATCGCGCCCGAAGTCGGCGGGAGTCCATAGAGTCCATGCATCGCGAAGTGTTTTTCTGCTATAACAGCTGCAGCTTGTGCCGCCGAATTCACCGACTCTTCTTTCACCATTACTTTACCTACTGCAAAAACCAAATATTTCTTTAGACATCTTTCAATCAAAAAATATTAAATCAGAATCTAAGGAGCGATTTTTTTCCACGAATTTTTAATTTACTGTACAGTCAGTAACTGTCTATTGTATTTAAATTTGCAACTTAAAATAACTAAACTAGATTTTCTTTATGGCACGAAATACGAATATAAAGTCCGATAAAAAATCGAACGAATGAAAACGAATGAAGTCTTTCTTCACAACTGCGTTTTTATTGCAAGAAGAAATTGAAATTTTGAATTTTGAGAATTAGATGTTATGAATATTCCATCTGCAACAGTTTCGAAAAATGGTAAGGAAAATACGCTCCGCTTTGTTGTCAATAAATCATTCATCGAAGTTATGACAGACGATGCAAAAGTCCACATGTCTGAGTTTGTTTGTCTAAGGCATAAGGGAGTTTTGGATAATTCTGAATGTTTGCAGAAGATCTGGGTCAGTGAGAAACTGTTACAATATCATTGATATCGGAAGATTAACCATAACCCAGTCCAAGATTGCGCAATCACTACAAGACTGTTATGATATTTCTGCGAAGCTGGATTTCTTAAAACGCAGACTTGTCTTTTACGAATAAACTTTTTTGGCTGTTCTTTCTTCACTGTCAGGAAAGCTTCTACTTTGTCAGTCGATAATGTCAAATATTACCCCAGGGCTCGAACTATAGTGAAAATATTTAAAAATACGGACTTTGCAGACCAAAAATTAAATATGACGGACCGAAAACATCAATAACTGGTTTTTTAAATAAATATTTAATTATTATTTTTCTGTAGAAATTCAAATTTGTCAAAACATTTAAATTGAAACCTTTTTAAAATTCAAAAACATATAAAAAATTGTTCTACAACATGAAAAAATATATATCTTCATGTTTTATAATAAATTAAAGATGACCGAGTAATAAAATCATTGTTATTTTATATTATAAGAATATTGTTACTGTAACTTTTTCAATATTATTTTCAACATTTCAATTCAATCATTACTCTCTAGAATTTTTAATTAAAATTAATTTTTAATATTTTTAATAATTTTTGGAAAAGTTCTTTGAGAATTTTCAAAACCCCTTTGTTTACAATTCAATTTTACGAAATTTTTATTATTCGGAAATTCTTCAATTAAATGTACATTAGAAAATTAAAACGTTCAATAATTTCAAAAAAATTCAATTATTTTCATAATTTCAATTCAATTATTATTTTATACAATTTTTAACTGAAATTCATCTTTAAATCAATTATACATTTTTAATAATTTCCTTAGAAAGTTCTTTAAAAATTTTCAAATCCATTTGTTTTGAATTCAATTTTACAAAAACTCGATTAATCGGAAATTATTAGATTAAATTAAATTAAATTAAATTAAATAAAATAAAAACTTCGAATAATTTAAAAACATCAATTAAACTTTTACAAAAAAATTAATTCCCAAGAATTGTATCAAAAGTATGAAAAAATAAGATTTTCAAAGATTTCAATTTGAAACTTTTTTAAAATTCAATTATCTCTTAAAATTAACGCTATTAATGTTTTTAATATTTAATTATTATCTAAAATGTAACCTAAAATTCATTTTTAAATCCGTTTTTATTAGAAAATTCTACGAGAATACAATTATTTAAATTCAAAAATAAATAATTTATTGAATAATTGAATGTTTTTGTTAAAATTGTATTCTCATAAAGAGTTTCATTAATAAATTTTTAAATAATTGAATTCTTTCAACGAATTTTAATAAAATTTTTAAGAATAATTACATTTTTCGATGAATTTGATTAAAATTGTGTTAAAAACTTCTCAAATTTTTAAATTATTTGAAATTATATAATAATTTAAATTATCAAAAATTTTATTAAAATTCGATGAAAGACTTCAATTATTTCAATTATTTGAATTCGATTTTTAGAACATACTTCAATTTCTGCAAAGAATTTTATTACTTTTGAAAATAATTGAATTTCTGCAATCATTCGTAACTTCTCCTGAATTTCAATTTTTTTTAGTGTTTTAAACTAAAATTTTTCTATAAATCCATTATTTTTGATAATTAATTAAATATATATTACAAATTTTTAATAAAATTCATGTTTAAATCAATTTTTGTTAGAAAATTATACGAGAATTCCATTATTGAAATCCAAAAATAAATAATTTATTGAAAATTGAATTCTTCTTAAGAATTTTATTACAATTTTTGAAAATAATTGAATTTCGCAAAAGAATTTTGTTATTTATACAGATATATTGAAAAAAAATTTAAAAACTGACTTTTATGGACTTGAAGCTTCACGAACCTGGTTCGTGCCCTGTTACCGTGTAAGTTAATCTTAAAAAATTGTTTGTTTTTTTAATAGTTGTGTATGTTAAAATATAGTTAAATATTGAACATTAGTTTAAGGCATTTTTTGTTTTAAAACAACCTTTTAACCGTTTTTGGTAAAAAGTGGTGAGAAACTTACTCGGTGACGTGAGTGAGCTGAGATGAGGCGGGAGTCCCGCGTAAGGAAGACTCTGAAGGTAGTTCCTCGGCATTGGAAGCCCCGGAGGGAAGAGTTTAGGAGCCGTAGCCGCCAGCGGTTGCTCCTGATGACCACTGCTCCCCGCGCCGTTGGACTGAGAGTCGCTGCCCGGCGACAAGGAAGCCGTTGCTCCCGAGGAAGACGATTTCGGTTTCGTGAGATTCAGCGGCGCGTCCGGGTCCGGGAATGAGTGCTCTGTCGGAGTCACGGCCGAGACGGGCGCCGGGGAGGTCTCCTTCTCCACCTTCGTCGTCATCTGGGCGAGATGTGTTGTTGCCCAGCTGGGACCGTCTCGATGGCTGCTAATCATCTGCAATTCCAAATCGCTAAATTATTACAAGTCTCCTCGAAACCATGAAAAACTAAATCATTATGCTTCAAGCTTATTATAATATAGTCATCAAAACAGTCATCAATGATTTCTATACCATTATAAAAAATAAATAAATAAAAAAAATAATGAATACTGACGTTGGCGATGGAGTTGATATGCTTGTTTCCGGTGGACGCCGTTGACGTTGGAGGTGGCATTTGCGAGGAGACGGGCATGCCTTTCATTTGCTCGAAGAGAGGCAGGAAGAGCAAGGACTGCGGACTTGCCATGTTGAGTTGGCCTTTTGTTAATTGCGCCTGCAACTCCTGGATGTTGTGTTGCCGCTTCAACTGTTCCGCTTGTAACCGCTGCATCTCGATTTGCTTCTGCGAGTCGACCGTCATGTGAGTGGGATACGTCTGCAAAACACAAAACAGAACTAATTAGAGCGATTCGAGGGTGGAGCTTCAAGTACAATAGATTGTTACTCGGACCAGTGCCGAGGCCTTTTTCCCTCTTTTTCCCTTTTTTGCCTTTTTGCCTTTTCTCCCAATCTCGCTCCTCTAACTTTGTAATTCACTTTCCTCCAATGTCTACATTCTAATTGATATAATACGTTCAAATTAAACTCACTCTTCATTTTAATAAAGTATTTTTCTTTCTTCATTCTCTCTCTCTCTCTCTCTCTCTATATATAATACTAAAATATATTAAATTTATCCACTAAAGCTATTAAATTTGCATTGCATCTTTACTCAGGGTTGCTACGCTTTTGCTCTTTTCAAATTCCCTGACTTTTGCAGCTTGAAATTTAAACCAGAGTTTTTTTTAATTTTTTATAACATATAATTGAATTTCAACGAAGAATTTTATTACTTTTGAAAATAATTGAATTTCTGCAATTCTTCGTAACTTCTCAAAATTTCAATTTTTTTAAGGGTTTTTAACTGAAATTCCGAATTCTTCTATATAAATCCATTCTTTTTAATAATTAATTAAATATTACAAATTTTAACTAAAATTCATTTTTAAATCAATTTTTATTAGAAAATTCTACGAGAATTCAATTATATTTAAATTCAAAAATAAATAATTTATTCAATGTTTCTTAAAATTTAATTCTCATAAAGAATTTTATCAACAAATTTATAAATAATTGAAATTTATTTTTTTAGATGAATATTAATAAAATTTTTAAGAATATTTACATATTTATCGAGGACTTTTCAAGGGGTTTCCAGGTTTTTAAAACGAAAATTATTCGGAAAAATAAATAAAGTTCATTTTTAAATAAATATTTAATTATTATTTTTTTTATAGAAATTAAAATTTTCATAAATTTGGAATTCAATAACATATAATTAAAACTTGCTACTTTGTTACTGTAACTTCTTTAAAAATTATTTTCATCATTTCGATGATTCATTTCTAGAATTTTCAACTAAAATTCTTCTTTAAATCAATTTTTTAAAATAATTTTTGAAAATGTTATCTTTGAGAATTTTCAAATCCTTTTGAATACAGTTTAATTTTACGAAATTTCGATTCTTCAAAGTTCTGACATTCTTCAATTTAATATATATAAAAAATTAAAAACTTTAAATAATTAAAAACCAAAAATTCCATTAAACTTTTTGAAAAAAATTAATTCTACCGAATTCTTAATTAAAAGTATGAAAAGTTCAAATTTTCAAAGATTTTAATTTGAAACCTTTTGAAAATTCAATTATTTCTAAAGATCCACGCTAATCAATATATTTATTACTAAATTCTACGAGAAATCAATTATTTAAATGGAAAAATAAATATTTTATTAAATAATTGAATTCTATTGATAAATTTTAATAAAATTTCTAAGAATAATGATAATTTTGAGGAATTCGATTAAAATTGTATTAAAATTTCATTTCATTTCATTTTATTGTAAAAATAATTGAATATCTAAAAAAAATGTTATCATTTATGAAAATAATTGAATCCCTGTAAAAAAAAATTATATTATTTATGAAAATAATTGAATTATTGTAAAGTTTATAAAAAATTTGTGAATAATTGAATTTTTATGAAATTTTTATTATTTATGAAAATAATTGAATGTGTGCGTAGAATTTTTAATAAAAAAAATTTTTTTCATAATTGAATTCTTCTGGAAAATTTAATTAAATAAATAGTAGATATTGGAAATTATTGAATTGAGGAAAATTTTTGAAAATAATTGAAATTCTGACAAGAATTTTATTAAAAATTTTGGAAATAATTGAATTTCAGAGAAGAATTTTATTATTTATAAAGATAATTGAAATTTACCCTGGCATTTTTAAAAATTTTTGAACATAATTTATTGAATTTCTACGAAGAATAATTATATTTTTTCTAAAAATTAATTGAATTCTTGAGAAGAATTTTATTAAAATTTCTTTTTAAATAATTGAATTCTTTTGTGAAATTTGATTGAAATAGTAGACATTGAAAATAATAGAATTTTGACAAATTTTTGAAATTAATTTATTTCTAAGAAGATTGTTATTAAAATTATTTTGAAAAAAAATTGAATTGTTATAAAGAATTTCATCAAAATTTTTGAAAATTAATTCTTTGAAGAAATTGAAATATAAAAATGTATTGAAAATAGTACTTGAATTTGAATAAAATGCACATAACATGAAAATAACAATTATTGGTCTCTTAGTCTTCGTCTTTCTATAATTAAAAGAAAGAATATTTTAACTCACGAACACAAAATAATAAGAAATAAGAAACGGGCTGGTGGATATAATAATTTATCAAAGAATAAACGAATAAAAAGGATTAAATAAATAAAGAAAGTGCATATTTCAAGTGGAAGGCCGAGTCGAAAGTAACAATGTACTGCGTTATATATCCGGACATGCGTGGAAAATTCATCTTCCTCGCGTGGGTCGTTTAACATGAGTCTGAAAATTTATAACATGCTAAAAGGTTCCGTTGATTCTTCATTTTGCAACATAGACAAAAGCATTGCGATTTTTATTTCAATTTTATTATTTCTTTGTCGTCCCGCCTAATTGCGTTAATCATCTAGTTTTTAGTTTTTGGTTTTTGATAATAAACGAAAATTGGAAAAGTGGGTGTTGCGAATCGTGTTTGCCGACAAAATTATAGTCGCATACGGGACACGTTCGCGGATCATAAAGGCACTTTTTTCCGCTTCGCCTTTTACACACAAGGATCATGATAATTTAATGTGGTTAGCTTTATTGTGCGTTCCTGTGGCCTGGCTATGATCCAGATATGCTTGAAGTTTAAAGGCTATTTTAGACGATAAGGAAGACGTTTATTCATCTAGCGAGCGCACCAGCTGAGACGTCACGCACGCACAATATTAAATGTGACTAAAATCTTCCTTTTTCCTTTTTCCTTTTTCCTTTTCTGTCCTCTCGCGCTCCGTGCTCAGCTATTGCAACAAAATGACTCTCCTCCGAGAGGGTTCTTGTAAATCAGCTGGAAAACCGCAGTCTTCTTATTAATCCCTTTAATTTTTTTTTAATTTAGCATTAGAGCTAAGTGCACCTAGCTTTCTTTAAAAAAAGAGTAGGAAAATAAAATACAATGCTAAAAATATTAAAATTCGACCCTGATGTAAATGGACATTTTTGGCATTCGGATAGAGAATCGAATTCGTTTTCAGGGTTGACACAAAAATTTAATTTTCTTCTCTCCTGACTTTTCCCTCATTTCCAGATTTTTTCCTGACTAATTTTGACTTTTTCTCTGACCCCAAAGAATATTCTGATTCACTCCAAAAATTATTAGATACTCAAAAAAAGGTTCTATTACATTTATATACGAATTTTACGAAAAAACTCATTTTTAAATCAATTTTGTCAGAAAATTCTACGAGAATTCAATTATTTAAATACAAAAATAAATAATTTATCAAATAATTGAATATTTCTTAAAATTAAATTTTTATGAATAATTTTATAAAAATTTCTCAAATAATTGAATTGCTTCGAAGAATTTTATTTTTTAAGAAAACAATTGAATTGTTTCGAAGATTTTTACAAACATTTTTGACAATAATATTATTGTATTCTTAGAAAGATATTGTTATATATTTCACGAAAATAATTGTCTATTATCAATTTTAGTATAATCTATCAAATTTATAAAGCATTTTATCAAAATTGAAAAAAAATTTAATTCTCCAGAGAAATTTTATTATTTATGAAAACAATTGATTTTTTGCCAAAAATTTTATTTAAATTTTTTTTTAAATAATTGAATTCCCATAAAAAATGTATTATTTGTGAAAATAATTGAATTATATAGGAAAATTTTATTAAAATTGCAATTTTAATAATTCAATCTTGTAAAGAATTTTGTCAACAATATTTTTTAAATAATTAGAATTTTTAAAAGAATTGTATTTAAATTTTTCGAAATAATTGAAATTCTCAGAATACGTTTGAATTCTTTCGAGAAACTTTATTAAAACATTAAAAATAATTGAATTGGTGTGAAGAAATTTATAAAAAATTGGTAAATAATTGAATTCCTGTGAAATTTTTATTAAAATTTTCTTTATATAATCGAAATTTTTTGGAAAATTTTATTAAAATAGTAGATATTAAAAATAATTAAAATTTTGCCAAGAATGTTATTAAATTTTTTTTGAAAATAATTGCCATTTTGCTAAGAATTTTATTTAAATTATTATTGAATAATTGAATTTCGGAGAAAAATTTTATTATTTATACAGATAATTGAAATTTTTCAAAAAATTTTATTAAAATTTTTGAAAATAATTGAATTTTGGAGAAGAATTTTATTATTTATAAAGATAATTGAAAATTTTTAAACATAATTGAATTTTTGCAAAGAATTTTATTAAAATTTTTGAAAATAATTGAAATTTTGCCGAGAATTTTATTAAATTTTTTGAATATAATTGAATTTCGGAGAAGAATTTTATTGTAATTATAAAGTTAATTGAAATTTTGACGAGAATATTTTTAAAATTTTTGAATATGTATAATTAAATTTATGCTAAGAAGAAGTTTATCACTTTTAAAAATAATAGAATTTCTGTAATCTGTTATTCTTAAAATTTCTATTTAAATTCATTAAAAATTGATATTTTTTAAAATTTTAAATTGAAACCTTTGAAGTGCATCTAATTATGAAGATTGTAAACGCAACTCTTTTCAAATCCAATTAATTTTGAAATTTTTAAGTAAAATTATTCATTAAATAATTTATAAGTGCCTATATTATAATAATTTTGTGATATAGTTCTTCAAGAATTAAGTTTGTTAAGAAGAAATGAAAAAAAATGAAGGTTTTGTATTAGAATTTGTGTCAATTTCATAGTTTATGAGGCAAACAAAAAAGACATCAAAATTGAGGGTCCCAATCGAAGAACCAGTTATAAGTTTTT